TGTTCGCACAAATCCAGAATAACATTGAAAATGAAGTGGGCCATAACATTAGGCAGTGTGGGCGCTGATTTTGAATCTGTACTTCAAATTTCAGGCATGCTTTTCCAAGACGGTGCTGTTTTTACCGCTTTTGACAGCGAAGGATAAATGGAAGTATTTTAGTGTGGTCGGGAGAAACATAATTGTGAAGCGGTGGCTTGCAATTGATGAGAAGGGGCATGATTACTGATGGAACTGCAAGTTCAGTATCGGGTTACAATAGCTTTCAGATGAGGGCTTTGACTTTGTCTTGCATCAGAAAGCGTGGGTTTCTCGCAATGTCTAAGCAGTAGCCAAGTGCTAAATCTGACGGAACGCTGTAAGGAAGTCATGCGTCGGAGTAAGTTGAGGGAAGTAAATGAGGTGTCAGAATTGTTGAAAACAAACAGTGGTTCATAAACGGTAACTCAGCATCGTGGACCACTTTCGTCCCGCCAGCCATAAAAAGGGGAAAGGGAAAACGCATACTTTTGACGCTTACGTCACTGCTGCACTTTAGCATTTCCTTGCTTAAAACAAATGAGGCCACGGAAAAGGGACTGCGAGAAACCAGAGTGACAGACGCGCGGCGACACCAGAGAAGTCCTATATAAACCATTACTGTCTAGAACAGGAGAAGTTGTTGAAGGACTACACATGTTCCTTACCACCTCCTCTAGACTGAAGTTGGATTGAATTTTGTGTTTTAAATTTATTGATAACGTGTTATCAGATGAAGAGTTGAAGCAAAGCGAATTCATGAAAGCATAAGCAATACACCGATGAGTCGTACCTGTTTTTTCTCATGATCGATCATGACGTTGTGTGGTTTAACATCTCTATGCATTATTCCTTGAGAATGGCAATAATCCAAAGCCTAAAAGTATAGAAATAATACCGCGCTACACCAACTTTGTCAGGGATAGATTCAAATGCGATGTGTTCTGCCTCAACGACTTCCATTGCTCGTCAATCACGCAGAGATACAAAGAACAAAATGAATGAATGAAATGAATGACAGAATGAAAGGTAAACCATTGAGCTCAGATCATTTAAAGCTCACCTTCAACAATTCATACAAATAGTAGCGAATATCCAGATCGCTAAGAGTGCCGTACAATTGTTTGAAGTCGGAATTGTTCACATATCTGAAAACATCACTGCACTGTTGGTTGAAAAGTAAGTTCTCTAAAGAGGAAAACGTCTAAACTAAGTGAAAATCGGAGGAAATTGACCATTATAGTGAAAAACGTACTCAAAGATCAAAGCTGGTGTACGTGATATAGGGTCTTTTACAACATCCAATAAAGTGATGACATTAGTTCCGCCACGGAGATTTTCAAGAATTTTGATTTCACGCTTGATCTTCTTCTTTTTCACAGGCTGTAAAACAATTGTAAAACGACAACAAACAAATACAATACCTTACACTTGCAAATGAATATATAAAAATGCACTTGCCTTAAGTATTTTCACAACGACTTTTTCGTCCGTTGTTATCTTCACACCTTCAAACACCTGAAATAGGAGGGACTTTATCATCAATAGGTAGTACCCAGGTAACTGCCAACGTAAAACAATTAAGTATCGCAACAGTTTTTGCAATTAAAAATCAAGATTCCACTCTGTGCGTTGTGTGTGGGCTAATCGATAGCACGGTTGCAGAAAAAATAGTGTAGTATAGAGCTTGTCATTGGAATAATTTTACTTCCTTATTAGAAAGGAACAACTTTTCAACGCGAACGATGTACCTCTGAGTACTTTCCACGTCCAAGTTTACGAACAAGCTGGTAGTCATCAATGTTTCCCCATTCGATAACATGTGATTCGTAATCCCAGTATTCACGCGGTTTCGACGGGTTGACCTGAAAAGAAGCAGGCGAAATAAGGCCCAGATTGAGAGGACCACAGAGAAATACAGCCAAAGACTCACATCCGCATATACCCTAGCTTTGCTAGGTATGGGAGCCATGCCGGCGCGAAACCGCGAAGCTTGCGAGCTGAAATATCAATTGATGTCGTCTTCGGCATGAAAAGAAATGCAAACGGAGCGTATCAGCAAGAAATCTAATCAGTCGAAACATAGAGTGACAGACTGTTTGGTGTCAAGATCGTCTTGAAATGTAACACGAATGAAAATGTTGGCGAGTTGAAAACATCAAAAGCAAACGATAAGACAGCGCCAAAAACCAGCACTTCCAATTAAAAAACATCGTCTAAGACCTTCTCCTAGAAATATACTGCATCAAAGTTATCCCGAACAATTAGGAAACCCTCAAAACAAAGATAAAACAACGGTCCCTTCCCAGTCCTCAAAAAGCAACCCATCAACCCCGCCCGCCTCTCGAGGGAGCAGCACCAGAGATTACGGTAGTAACTGCAGGACCACCACGATCGATATCGCAGCTGTCCTTTAGTTAGACTCGGATATCATCATTTGTTCGAACTATGCCTCTTTGCTGTTTATTCGTGCCTATTCTGAATTGTAGCTGATTTTTGATTTCAAAACAGACTCTATGTTGACAAGAACAATACTTTCTTCTCGATTGCTGAGGTTGGCTAGCGGTAAGCCCTTACAGTTCGAGCGGGTGAGTACTCATTTTACATTTAATTTATGTTGCTCTCCACATTTAGTTATCATTCAAATTAGTTCTCAGCTTTCCTAGAACACATGGATTCTTCGCCGAGTTTACGCCCCCGATCCTACGCCTCCTGGGCGAGTACAGCGGAATCCGGAGGAGTTGCCGAACCTGATGAAGCTAGAAGTTGTTGAAATTGAAACCAGTAAAAAGGCAGGACCTCTGAAGGTCATTCTGCTACAAGACGTTGAAGGTGTGTCTTACATGCTAGATATTCCCCATTGTGGGCCCTTAAGTTACGACTGCTTACTTTGTACCGATATGGTCTCCCGTGGGGCGCATTCATACAGGGCTCACGCAGTGGCTCTGAAAGTAAACCTTTTTTCCCTCCTCCAGTCGCATACTGAAGCTTCCGTCCATACTTTCCATTTTAACTCGCTGGCCCGCCCATCAAGTCATCAGTTTAGTCATTGCGATCTTTCAGAGTAGAGTG